TCTAATTAGGATCTTGCTAAACAGATGAGGAAACTGAGACTTTGAGAAGTGAATTTGCCCACACGTACCAAGCTAGTCCTTGGTGTTGCCAGAACTCAGCCCAAACTTTCAACCCAAACCCCAGGGGTGCTCCTATCCAACACCCTACAATGTGAAACCACGTTATCTGAAAGTCCTTTCCATCTATCTGTCCATCTGTCATGTGCTAGGAAATGGGATGTGGCCAAGAAAAAAGGGATTGAACATCTAAAGGGAAAGGAAACCTAAAACTCACAACCTACAGGCTTTCTGGTGTGAACTGCCCACCCACTTCTGAGCAGAATTAGGTACATAAACTCTTACCATAAAAAAAGGACAAAAAGAGACAACAGATCTTGGCGGTGAACAGCCGATGAATTCCCAACTCTTAACAAAATTCTGAGCCATCTTATTCCCAGCCAGGAGACCAACAGATATCCTGATTAACACTCATAGGAGTTATTGGACAGTTTGAAAGAAAATTACAAGGCCAGGAAGTGACCAAAAGTTAAAATTAAAAAAAAAAAAAAAGTATCTCCTACATATTTGCAAACCACAACACTTTCCCCTTAGAAACCTCAAAGAATTTTTTTTTAAGCAGAGGAGAACCAAGCCCTCCTTTTGAAAGAATCAAAGTGAACAGGGAACTTCCTCTCCGTTATTAATCTATCAACTTTGGTTTCATATTGCATCACCATTAAGATAATTTCTGCTTTCTATCACTTTAAGGTATGTTCCCAATAACTATCAGATCTGATAAAAGATCCCCAAACCAGGACCTACATATGCTTATTATTAGCTGCTTGCTTTTTTAAAGCAGAGTGGTAGGTTAATAAGAAATCTCAGATTACTCCTTTAAAAAAAACACATAGGCCAAAAATGAAATAAAACATTTCACACTGAAAAGTCAGTATTTGCAAGTCGTTAAAGGAAATTTTATAGGACAATGAGAAAGTTTAATACATTGGAACACCTAGATTAAAAAATGTCTATTATTTACAAAACACAATATGGAACTTGGAAAGTAATGAATCCATACCTGAAAAAAACAGATCATTAAGGCATTTTACTTAAGGTACTAGCATATTAACAGATTTGAGATTTTTAAGTAAACAATGACAGCTAATATATGAATGCACACTTTATTGTGAAAGACACCATCTTGGACGCCAGAAATGATCATTTACATGTCAATTGCACTGAACAAATATTCAGAAAACTGAATGTCTTCTCTTTTGTCATTTATGTTTAATAAATAACACTAGAGCTTAAAATCAAACTATAACACATGAAGCAAACATTGTGGTTCCTGAGTAAGTATACTGAATGCTTCATATGTTGATATAGGTTCTTAAATGTTACAAAAATCAGTTTGGCTGTGTTTTATCCATAGAAGATTTAGAACAGTTTTTCACTTGTGTTATTTTAAATTTCAATGTTTAAAGGCAAATCCTTCCTTAAAATGTCGTTTAAGGTTTTTGAACCATACATTTTGGTTCGTGTGTATGTGTGCGTTTAAACAAAACTCTGTATGACTGTTATTCTAGGAGTAGATACTCAGCTGAGAAAAGTAAGAAAACAGATCTGTAAGGACATGCAGAGGAATGTGCATGGTTTGGCTGGAAGGCTCACAATCAGGAATAAATTGCAGCACATAATGGCTAGAAAAGTTAATTAAGTCAACCTAACACAGACAGCGCCAATAGCAAAACATTTTTGTTTGTTTTATTTTAATCTTGAAATTGTGGACGTGAGAAGAAATACACAGGTTACCTCTGTAATATATCTTGGTGCCGAACTCATTTTTCCTTGTTCATTTACAAGTCTCTGAATTGCAGAACTTGGTAAGGAAAACCTAAGAACCCCCTGGGAACAGTAGCAATTGGTACTACCTATTATAGGATCCAAGTAATTTTCATTTCCTTTTTGTGAAGAGCCTTAGTGGAGGTATCCAAGCACTTCTGAAATGTTTGCAGAGAAAAGACAGAACAGGAGACAGACAGAATAGACAGACGGATGGATGACCATAGCAATGACAGTATACCAACCTTTGAAAGCCTGCCCCCCACACCAGCTCTTAAACCCAAGCCAAACCACAGACCAAAGCCCCCAGACTAGCTGTGTGACCAGAGCAGAGAGCGAAGGGCAGCGTGCCACCAGGTAGAAGCTGGCAGAACAAAGAATTTGGGCCATTCCACACCCTCCTAAGCATCATCCTGGGGCCATAAAGAGGCTCTGAACTAGTTAGATGAATCCTGCAGAGGACTTTGTAAAAAAAAAAAAAAATCATTACAATTATTAGCATTGCTTATGTAAAGCAATCACAAAGAAAAAAGTTTATTTTCTTTTGTCTCAATTTTTCCCACCTTTAAACTTGTTTGCTGGTTTTCCTGGAATCTTCCAGCAGGATTGCCATTGATATTTCAAAAACACCACTTCCATTTTCCTTTATTTGGCTGGCTCTTTATGTTATTCCAAAACAAAAAGGAGTCAATCTCTTACAAGAAACAGAACACTGAAAAAAATGGTCAGAGCTCACAGGATTCTAGGACAGCTATCATTCACGCAGGAGCCCTGCAAACCTGACTAATGAGGTTTTTGCCCCAAGATAGGACGTGTCTTACACCCATTTAGGAGGTGCTTCAAGGACCCAGGCTAATCAGGGTGAGAAACCCATGGAATTCAGTTTCTGAGTCAGTTCTGTGGTTACTTCAGACTCAAGGACTAACTTTTATAAACCATGACTATTTCTCCCCTGGATGCTTGTTCCCCGGTGGCTTCCTGGCTGCTGGGCTGATTAGGTTAGTTCTGTTCCTGGTCACCCTAAGCAGGTTAATGGGCAGAACTCATGGTCAGAGTAGCTCCAGACAAATGCAACAGAACCAAAAACCTGCCCAGCAGGTGTCCAGTGGCCGAAATCGCCAAAGTGGCAGCACCTTCACAAGGACAGATCTCTATTGCTACTCTGCTGAAATTCACAGGAAGGACAGTGGTTTATGGAGGCTCCACGTGGTGCAGCCTCTTCTCATGCACACACTTACACACACGCTCACTCATTCACACGCACTCACACTCACACACACCACTATAAAAATCACCCAATGTTGATGTTTCATGAAGCATGATATCCAGAAAGCGATTATTCCTACAAATTTTCTATTAAAATTACCAAATCACCTACATGGCACAGACTGATTCTATTTCTGAAATAAGAGATGAGTCTAATTTTTACAAATTCCAGAGAAAAGAAACAAGGGCCACGGCATGCTTTCTTAAGGAGAAAATATGCCTTCTATAACCTCATCACAGGAATAATACAAAAATCTGGCTCTATTAAAATAAGCTCTAGTCCTGAGTTGAAAGTCCACGAATCAAGAAATATAGTTTCGTATGTATGTAAAGTAAATTCATTATTTTAACTCAGACATAAATAGATCTCCCTTAACGATCAATTCAAAATGGGACTCATTAGCCAAAAGGTTTAATGCCAGCCCCTCCCCTGGCCCAGTCAAGCCAGCAGTGCACACTGGTGACATCGGGGAAGGAGAAAAGTGAGCAGCACACACTGTGGACCAGGATGGGCACAGAGGGCAGGGCCAGGCAATGCCACAGTTCAGACAGGAAGGCGCAGCTTTTTTTACTGGATGTCTGCCCTCACAGCCTACACTTCTGGGCTGTTACCTTCCAAAGCAGATTCTCACTCTCCCATTGTATGTAAAAAACTGGAGGGGCTTCCCTGGTGGCGCAGTGGTTTAGAATCTGCCTGCCAATGCAGGGGGACACGGGTTCGAGCCCTGGTCTGGGAAGATCCCACATGCCGCGGAGCAACTAAGCCCGTGCACCCACAGCTACTGAGCCTGCGCGTCTGGAGCCTGTGCTCCGCAACAAGAGAGGCCGCGATAGTGAGAGGCCGGCGCACCGCGAGCAAGAGTGGCCCCTGCTCACCGCAACTAGAGAGAGCCCTCGCACGGAAACGAAGGCCCAACACAGCCAAAAATAAATTAAAAATAGAAAAAAATTTAAAAAAACTGGAAATCAACCTAGTCAAATCTTTTTGGAATAAATGAAATATAAATGCACAGGGAGGGAGGGCGCAGGTTGGCTCAGCAGATGCAAATCCTTGTACCCAGGTAGGCAGTGTCCAGGACTGAGACCAGCCCATTCTTCCTAAGGGCACATGGAGAAGCGGAGAGCGATTCGCAGAGGCCAGGGGTGGCTATGAAATCTACAGAAAGACAAGGCGCTGCTGGCCTTCCAGAGCCGAAAGGCAGGGAAAGGAAGTGAAGGTTACTCTTAACTTATTCAGTCTGTTTTTACCAGAGGGGGCTCTGGAATTTATTTTCAGTGCTCCATGCTTGAATTGAAATGCCTCTCAACACTTTGCTTAAAATATTAAAACATACAGCATGTAAAACAGTTGGCTTTCTGTATCTCTAAACGCAAATTAAGGACGTTAAATTTTTATATGCCAACAGCAAAACCTGCAACTCAGAAACTAGATGAGGCTCAACCGTTAACAACTTTTAAAATCCTTTCGAGCGGACTCCTTAGGGTTTGGGGTCTGCAGGGGACCCTATCACTAATTTGGACAAGGCAACTCTTGTGTCTTTTGTAATAACTGATAACTGATTATCCCGACGAGTAGAGACTTTCCATGTGAAATGCAAAGTATTTTGAACCCCAGCCAGACTCATCAAGATGATTTCCAAAATGCCAAAACAGGAACTTCCTATAATAAATAACCTATCACATTTACATCTCGAATTAGCAAATTTGGAAGAAAACGTGTAGTTTCAGCGCCAAAACAGAGATGGCTAAAGCCTGGCCACCCCGAGCCCGCATCCCAACCTCCACCTCCATCTGCGCTCTTCAGCTCTCAGAGCACAAACACGGGTCCAGGTGCAAATGCTCAACTCGCAAGGAATGCAGAGCACAGAAAAGGACTGTAGGCTTGACCTCTGGTAATCCCCGTGGCCGCTCACCATTGGAAGTGGTGCTGGAGGCCACGGCTTTCTCGCTGACGTCTGGTCGAGTGGAGTATTTCACTATGGAATTCTCCACTTTCTTCTTCTCAGTGGTCGTGGAGCTCTGGGACTGGGCCTCCATGACGCCTTCTCATTACTTCAGCTCTGGGCGACCAGGAACCCCTACAAAAACAGCAGCGCCATCAATTTCAAATAAGAAGGGGAAAAAGGAAATCCCACTCCAAAGGTCACTTCACCTGTCACCTGAGGAGGTGCCTAGCGCATCAGCCAATTCAAAATCTAGAAGCCCCTTACCCGCAGGCTTTCTTGCAAAAAGGCCTCAAAGTGCTAGTAACAAGCCAGGCGAATTCTGTCTACACATGCAAAAGGAGGAGAAAGGGACTTGTCCATAATGTGGGACTTTTCCCAAAATCCTACTGGGCATTTGTTATTAAATGGTCTAAATATCTCCATTTTCAGCTGTGTTTACGGCGAGAAATCCAAGCGTCACAGTACTCCTTCAAGCCACATCTACAAATGTTTCCGACATTTATAAGAAGGTGGCCGCTTTTCTAAGAAGGGGCAGTAGGACAACTTTCCAAGCCAGGGAAGTTTTTTAGTTATTAATTAGATGTTTTAAAGAGTGACTGACAATTTCTCCCATCCAAGCCCAACTCAGAATTCTGAATCAGAGGATTCTGGTCAATGATTTTGCTTCCCTCACCAAGATACGTGAATCGCAACATGCCTCTTAAACCTAATTCTTTCAGGAAAACCATACACATTAAGCTTTCTTAAAACAGCAGAATATTTCCATTCATTTAAGTTACATTTTTAAAACAAACAAAGGTGATAGAACAACACACTCTGGATCCCACGGCAAAAGGCAGAAGATCACCCACAGCAAAGGCTGGAACCACTTAAGAAATATTAAAACTCAGCTAAAGGCAAGGGCAGTTAGTCTGTCTTTCACCAGCTTCATTCATGTGATAATCGCCCTAACTCATCATTCATCAATTTTCACTCTGTTTGGTTCATGCTCTTTTTTGGCAGTCATGATCTACACTGACAAAGAATACAAGAGAAGATGACAAGTCTCCTCTCTACCATGTTTCCCTCAAGCTCTCTAGATTGTGGGCATTTCTTCCATGGAGTCACCTGCCTATTTAGTGGAGGCCACCATGTTCCATCAAAACAAGGATTAGAGAAAGAAAACAAGCAAGTGCTTCACAGACCAAAAAGAGTTAAAGTACCAGACGGAAGATTTTTAGTCATCCTTAACTCAAAACTTGCAAGGGAACCGCAATCTGGGATAAGTAACTGGAAAAGCTGAAGGTCCAGAGGCCTCATGGCCCTGGAGCACCAGTTCTTCCAGTAACTTCCATTTCTTTTCCTTGATTATCCAGTGGCATTCATTGTAAATCATACAAGTTATTTAGAACAGCTTTTCTAGAATAAAAAAGACAAAAAGATGCCCTAGCTTAAATGTACCTATCAATTATAAGATCCACTCTGAATTCAGAAACACCCCTCAAAGAGTCCCCACAGGGGCTTCCCTGGTGGCGCAGTGGTTGAGAGTCCGCCTGTCGATGCAGGGGACACGGGTTCGTGCCCCGGTCCGGGAAGATCCCACATGCCGCGGAGCGGCTGGGCCCGTGAGCCATGGCCACCGAGCCTGCGCGTCCGGAGCCTGTGCTCCGCAGCGGGAGAGGCCACAACAGTGAGAGGCCCGCGTACCACAAAAAAAAAAAAAGAGCCCCCATAGATCACAACAGTGAAGGAATATAGACCTTCTTTTCTCAAGGCTGCCACCGCACACAAGTCCACAGGGGAGGGCCTGATTGGCACCCCTGGAGTTGTCCAGTGCCTCAGTTTCCTCATCTGTCACATGACAGTGTCACACAGTGGGACTTCAACTTGGGGGTGGGAATGGGGGGTGTCCAGTCCTCTTTAAGAATATGTTAAAACTTACGGACCCTCTCCCCCTAGAATCCCCTTAAGCGCACCAAAAACTGTCCATTTGATTTCCAAGGGATCACAGGCCCTCCAAACCAGTTAAAGAACCCTTGAAGGAGAAATTCTCAACCACCCCTTCTAGCTCTGCCAATCTCAGAATGATTCTTTAAATTTTTTGCACGCTCCCCCCAAATTGACTTAAATATCATTTTTAAAGCATGCCACGGGAACAATTCAACCCACTCCATGGCACTGTTTCTCAGCGTGGTACAAAAGCCACCTGAATCAGCCTTGTTTCAGTGCTTGCAAAACATTCAGAGTTGCAGGTCCAACCCCTGATGTCTCTGAGGTGACCCCTGGAACCTTTATCTGAACCAGCACTGGTGACTATCAGTTTCAGTGAAGCTCGCAGACAACTGTATTTTTTGTTTGCTGCCCTGTACCCAATACTGTAGGTGGTCCTCATTGAAGTCTTGGCAGATTGGATGAACTAATGAATGAAGTACTGAATTCCAAGAGCCCAAAAGAGCCTATCCCAACTGCCATCCCAATAATGCACTCTGCATCGGTCGGGTATCTTTGTTGAACGTCCGTCTTCCCCTCCGGACCCTAAACTCCAAAGGCCGGGCTATCTACCCAGCACCTCATACCTGTAAGAATATTTACTGAGTAATAAGCAATCCAGCAATGATCCCGTGACCCAGACAATTCAGCAGTGTCTTAAATCTTAATTGTCATAGATTTAGCTACATCTTTTCTTTTATAGCCTGTGTTTCTTTGTAAACTGGCAAATTATATCAAAACTAAAAACTTTAATAGGAATATTTAATTAATCAAAGCACTCCATTCTCAACCATTTTGGAGAAAAAGGGGCACTTACTATAATTGTTTCCCTCAAAACACAAATACAGTTTTACCGGTCGAATCTGGATGAGTTTTCGAATACTGGACACAGAAACAAGCTACTGGACCAGAGGGGGGAAAGAAAAAAAAACTATGAAGAGATGGGATTCTTGTCTCTTCCGTAGGAGAGGGAACTAATTAGTAGTAGCAACGAGACAAGTCACCAAAGCTCCTTGACAAACTTGGTTTTTGTGGAGTTGTTGGTTTTTCCCCCAAGCGAAAGACTTCATTTTAACAAAGCAATAAAAACCCTCCAAATACTCATCACCAGAGAGAGGCTCAGTGAGAAGAGGTAAAGCCCCAGGCGCTGATTGAAATCGCACTAATTAATGGTCTTGGAGAACACTAATTCCTCCCCCCACCCCCTGTTCAAAATGGATTTTTTGAAAAAATAGACCCTTGGTCACTCAAAAGTCTACCCCTTCTTCTATTTTGACAACTTATTTTTGGATCTCATTAGTTAGTAACTAATTATTTAAAAGTGTGGTTTATGCTTGGAACAAGGCTATAAAAATGGCAACTTGCCAAGGCAGACATCTGCTTCCTGTATATCCCTATAAATTATAACAGCTTATTTTACTGATAAAAACCCAACTTTGTCCCTGTCAGTTACAAAGGAGAAAGTTGGATTTTTTAAAAATAAATTTATTGATTTAGTTAGTTTTGGCTGTGTTGGGTCTTCATTGCAGTGAGCGGGCTTCTCACTGCGGTGGCTTCTCTTGTCGCGGAGCACAGGCTCTAGGCATGTGGGCTTCAGTAGCTGTGGCACACGGGCTCAGTAGTTCTGGCACACGGACTTAGCTGCTCCGCGGCATGTGGGATCTTCCCGGACCACAGCTCGAACCCATGTCCCCTGCATTGGCAGGCGGATTCTTAACCACTGCGCCACCAGGGAAGCCCTAAAGGAGACAGTTTTAACATTCTAGACTCTCACACCTCATCAAAACTCTGCACCAAGAGTTAGGGAGCAGAAAAGAGTGCTTGCTTCTAGCTGGGGTGGCAATTTTTTCATAGACTACTCAGCTGAGTTGGGAAACTCAGTCCTGAGTTGATACAGGAAAGCATGAGGTACAGAAGTGACCAGTAAAAATTCCTGATGGAATCCTAAAACATACATAACTAGGGCCGTAGCCTATAGGACTCCTTATAAAACCTGGCGTTTCCTAAATAATAAAGTACAATTTATTTAGAACGTAACTCTCAAGGAAAACTTTTCAGTTCTGCTTCACTTCAAAGATCTTTCTCTGAGGAAAACATGCCACTGGTTTTTAGATGTGAATGAAATGAGACTTTTAGACCCTGCTCCCTTTCTTACAGGGCCAAACTGTTCTCCCTCAATCCTTTTCATCACTGCAACATTACATGCAAGATTTGCTGGCATGCCCCTTGACTTTTTATGCTTATGAAAAAAAAGAGAAAAAAGAAAAACTATTTGTAGCTGATGTCTTGAGTCCCAGCAGCTTGGGTGTATGGGAAAAACAAAAACAAAACAAAACAAAAAACCCTGCAGCCAAGAAAAACTGCTCTGCTAAATAGACCTGCTAAAGCCTGACGTTTCATAGGTAAATGCAGGAATGAAAATGCCTTCTTGAAAGCAAACAGTCATGGCTTTTCCCCATTCACCTGTCCCTGATCCTTCTGTAATTTTCCCGAGGCCTAAACCCAGGGCACAATTATTTCCCGACCCTCTTTTAAAAGTAATCCCTCTCCTACCAGCAACCTGCCCACAGGAGGGTCTTTCCTTTCTAGATTATAAATCTGAACTTGCGTCAGCCTCCTACCAAATGAGACATCCTATCCTGGAGCCACTGACCAGGTGATGCTGTAGTGCATGTCTCCACTTGAAAGGCAGCCAAAGAAAAGCTGCAACATTTATTACCAATTTGGAGAAATGGCAGGGAGGGAGGAAGACCTGCACTGGAAACAGCACTCCCCCACCCCACCCCTACAAAGCCTCGGGTGGCCCTCTCCTTAGAGTGGCCACTTGGAACTGCAATTAAAAAATACAAAAACAAAACCAAACCAAAAAAAACCAAGAACTTTCATCTTTGCAAAGATAAGTTGTCATTTGTGTGCTTCTTTTTCCATTTAGTAAGCAGTGGGCTGCGGTCAGTGCTGCCTGGGAGAGCTCGCAATCCCGAGGCCTAAACCCAGGGCACAATTATTTCCCGACCCTCTTTTAAAAGTAATCCCTCTCCTACCAGCAACCTGCCCACAGGAGGGTCTTTCCTTTCTAGATTATAAATCTGAACTTGCGTCAGCCTCCTACCAAATGAGACATCCTATCCTGGAGCCACTGACCAGGTGATGCTGTAGTGCATGTCTCCA